CGTTGAAATACTTGGAAGAGCAAGAAACCACAGGGCGCGTGAGTTCCTCGAGGCCTGGCATTCTGGCCGGAACTCAATCAACAAACACCTGGAGCTGGAGGGTGTCTGTGAAGCTCTTCAGGTTAAGGCAGCATTAGGCACCAGATCGACAAGAGAAGAGGTGCCCACTCAACCGACTCACGTGAACAGATCGAAGTCTGACATTCGAAGCAGGTAACAATCAATAGTCACTCGGACCTGACATTGGTTTGCGAGACCGCGAATCAGGACTGAATAGCCGCACTGAAGATGTTACCTAGTTTGGTAACGAAACGTCTGCAACCGAAATGCCCGGCTCGGAGAACAGGACAATCCTCTCATCCACACCCCGAGCTACAGGTATTCTCAATAGGGTGCAAATATCCTTTGACTCGTGATAGCGAGCAGCTCGAGGCAGTTGATCCATTCACTTACCTTGGCACCTACATTAGCAACGATGGGCGCATAAGCACTCAAGTCACTTTAGGTATTCCAAACGCCAGAGCTGTCTTCCTGAATCTGCGAGATCTTTGGTGACAGAAAGAAGTTTCTGTCCGTCTACAAGGCCACAGTGAGGGCCGTCCTGCCATATGGTAGTGGGACTTGGCCCTACCGATCTGGGGGCCTTCAAGTCGTTAAGCAACGCTGTCTGTAGAGCATTGCTGGTGTCGGGTGGCACCAGCGTGTTCGGAACGATGATGTGCACAGGCGAGTGCTAGGCAATAATATTCTAGCTATTTCCTTAGATTGTACTGAATGAGTTGCCTTGGCTTAGGCACGTACTAGGTATGCCCGCTTACCGAGGAGGGCCTTGTTTTGTGTGCCAGATGTAGGGTGTCGCAAGGCTCGAGGTGGATAAAAGTTGACTTGGCAGTAGGAAATGAAATCACTGACGACCAAACTCGATGCTGTCGGTTCGTCTCGCCATCCAGGCTGGAGTACACGTCACTCGCGTTGTGCGTGGCTCAAGACGTTATAGAACGGCTCGCAGTCCACACCAGCGGCGTGACTACTGCTGTCCCAGTGGGAGTGCCTGTTTAAAGTGTGTTTGGCGCTGAGTTATCTGCGGGGAAATGGCTGATTATGACGCGGGGCAGTGAGAGCCGCAAGGAAGCTGTCTCGCTGATGCCGCCTTAACATGTTTTTAACACAAGGTGTAGGCGTCTTGACCCTGACTGTTTGCTTTTCGGTAAATCCCCCTTCCCCTTATTGTTCTTCGTTCCGTAGGTTGTTATGGTTGTGACAACGAAGCACCAGTCCAAATGGATGATGTACTGCTTTTGATGTGTATGCAAATACACCCTACCTTCCTATGTGTGCATAGTTATAGTGTAACCAACGTGATCGACCAGTTTGATCTGTCAAGCAGTTTTTCCTTTTAGTACCGTGACCATATGGTACAGGCGGCGAAAATCCCATAGCGCTACACCTACTTTACTTTATGCCTCAAGCTTCTAGCTGCAAGTTACTTGTATGGATCAAGGAACAGACGGGGGAGTGAGAAACAAGGTGTGGACAGTATCCCATTTTTGCATATACCCCGTTCTGTATGCAGCCAGCTAGATTGCTTTTAAGCTTACGCATCGATTGGTACAGAATAGAATAAAGTGTTTATTCTCGACTACGTGAGGCATGCCTACACAGGCATGATCATGGTAAGAGTACAAAAATGTGCTCAGTTAATGTACAATGGAACAACAGGGTTGTCACTTATGTTGATATATGAATATATCATATAAAAACATTAGTAATCTATGTCCAATGCGCAATCCAAGCCGGACAACCATGGCTGAAGCACGACTGTACTGCACTGGACCAACCTCAGAGTCAAGCTTCTAAATACCTCATTGGAATGCGCCACCTTCCGTACGAGCAGAGGCTTAAACGTTTGGGAGTATTCAGTGGACGATATCGCCAACAACGATGCGACTTGATTATGGCGTATTTGATTTTACACAATCCAAATCATGTATGCCGCCCTTTACTGTTATTCAACAGTAACACCAAACCTAAAGGCCACTCCTTGAAATTGGCAGAACAGTACAGCCGTCTGGTGGCGTGGCACAGGAACTTCTTTTTCATCCATTCCTGGGTGTCAACGCTCCCCCAATCGGATGTTACTGCACCCACACTAGGTATAGTTAAAAGTCGGTTGGATGACGCATTCCGCCACTTACATTTAATTACTTGACACTACTCTCCATCCCACTCTCGAATAATACCGATTGGGCTAAACCAACTTGCACTTAAACTAGGTCTTTTTAAGCTGGATAAATTTCATTCCACTTTATTTGGTTTGTTCTGTCTACCTGAATAATGTTCTATTAACTGGCCACGTTGCTTACGCCAATTGCGCTTATCTTCGGTAACTTTGTTGCGTTTGTAGCATTTTTCAGTAACTTGTGGACAGTTCTTATTTATCGCGGATTCGTTGCTAACCAACTTACTTCATATGGTAATCTAGCGAAGAGTTATACCACCGTATCTGTATTCATTATTGGATTTACTTTATTTCATCTTGTCGTTTCAAGTGATTGGCTGTTGCTTGATATCCCCGGTGTGGCTGCGCTTGACGTGCATGTTGACAAGTTGCCTACCTGTCTGTTACCCACTACCTCGTCCATACTGGCTTCAGGAGACAGTTGGTCGCTCCTGAAGGGGACGGGGTGCACGGTCCTTGTGGCCGTGCTAGGCTCGAAGAGTGGTTCCATGCACTCAGTGTGGAGCGGACTACGGTCCAGCCACCGCCTTGTGTGCACTTGATTCCCCAAATACAGCGTGTGTTTGCCTGTGGAGGAGTGTGGGCCGGCTCCGTTGATGAAACGTGGCCCCCATCCACATGCCTCCCGGTCTTATTCCTTCGGGTTTACACTGGATATGGGGTGTGTGGTTGGAGCTGTGGGTGGTGCGGCGCAAGCCACCCATGGTCCCTCTGTAGGCGCAGGCGTCCTGTGGCTGGCCACAGTGACAGGCAAATCCGAAACCAGATGCCGCCAACCAAGCGTGTGTAGCCGTGTTTATGGGATTTGTAAGTGTTTTCTTGCACTTTTGATCATGTCGCCAGTGCTAAAGGGATGCTTGATGTGGGTGGACTTGAAGCGGTTGTCCGGATAAGCAGGGGGTGACTTTAGTTGGTGGCGAGTCACCATCGCCACGTCAGAGTGTTGTTAAGCAGACATTTGTGGCTTTTTATGGGGAGAACGCTTGCCAGGCGAAAACCCACCATGTCCTGGAACACTACCGCCGAACTATTTGTTGGAACGGGGTAAACCCCAACCACCCAGCTGGCACCACAAGTTTGTTCGGCTAGCCAGTGATAGATACCCAAACGTGCAGAGAAACATTGGGATCCTCGGCCAACGCCTATGACCAAACATTTTAGCCACGAGATGGCAGGAATCCGAGAATTTAGCCGTGTGCTACGAGTCTGAGATGAGGTTCGAGGAGAGCAGCCCGTCACTAGGAAATGAAATAGTTGCTCAATAGGTTAACTTATCGATCTCCTTTTTTTCTATCAACGCTATCATTATTCTGGTGACATGAGTCACGGCAAGTGGAACTGCCGCCGGACAACCTCCCCGTGGTGCCAGCTGGGGGGTTCGGGTTAATCCCGTTTCGGCGGCAGTGTTCTAGGACGTGGTGGGTTAGCGCTTGGCAAGCGTTCTCTATAAAAATAAACATAAATCTAACAACACTGCGACGTGGCGGATATGACTCGCCAGTAAATAAACTCAGTGCCCTTCGTTTATCCAGAACACTTTCCAGACAATAGACGTCAGTCCTCGGAACCGAAGAGTTCCTTCGAACCCTTCTCATACTGACAACCTGACTGAACGAAACACCAAACGCTGCGCCAAATTAACATTTTTAGGCAACACAGATACGTAAGTTCATGCGTACATGCATACGCACATGGATCCAGTACATTACCAGTAATTTTACTTTTTTTTACAATTATCTGTTAATCCAGATCTGGATGATGCGCTAGGCCATCTACCGATCAGTCAACACGTGCTGGCACGTGCAGTTAGTTGACTTTATCGATCAAGACTTGAGTTTCTTACTGACTGCGACGCCAGTTACACAAACAGGACCGATAGAACATTGAATTCCCGAAAGAAAGAGCATGTACCTAAGTGGGTTCAACGTTCGACCGCGCAAGAAACTGGCCAGAGTCAAGCTGCTTGTCTGCGTAAGCCACCAGCCTCTTCGATCGGCCGACACTTATTGACTACAGGTCACCGAGTCGAGGTCACTTCGGCGTTCACAATTTCATTACAGCACACTAATTCTCACCTCCTCCGTTTCGCAGACGCGATTGCAATTAACTGGATAAAGCCATTGCTTTGTGTTCAAAAAACAATTATCGGTCAACATTAGAGGGCCCTGGGGATAGGGGTGATAACTCTGTCTCGTTTATCGTGTGTTGGTCTGCTTGCATATATGTTTGATCGCACCCTTCACCGAATAAATGTTATTGCGAGTTATTGTTAAAGGCACTGATGATACAATACGAAATGCTTGCATTTGTTAGTCTCCGTCTTCTTACTGCACTTTTCAAATTACCAAAGGGAACTAACTGTTTCAAATTTCTTACTGTCATAATTCCACTATCCCCACGAGTTTGGTTTCATTAACTCTTTGCGCTCTGACTTTCCATTTTATTATTGTAAATGCCTGTAGAGATTTGTCGAAAAGAGTACTCTTCGCAAACTTGTGTTCTTGCATTTCCATGGGTATAGTTTACTAATCCTGTTTGTATTACTATGATCAGGCATGCTTCGCACTGTCGAGAATAGAAAATTATTTATAATTGTTTAAGTTGACCGGGCCAAATCGGAACTGGTTGTTCACTGATGACCGCAAAACATGATACACAACTGCGCTCAGTGGCTTGCATTCCTGTTTGCTTTCAGACCACCAAACGCACCTTACTTGTCAGCCGCTGCTCACGGACTGTCTGCGTTCCTTTTGTTTTCCAGATGACAGTCGATCGAGGATTGCTGGTTGTCGGGGCGGGGGATGGCACCATCTACATATGGTCTTCCAGTGCGAATCGGAACGGTATCACGTGCTGATTGCCAGCGTATACAACTTATTCTTTGAATGGAGGCCACGTCGCGCAACTCCCTTGATGGACTATTTATTCCCGGATTTATCGACAGGCTGTCCATTTATGTACATGCTGAACCTTCAACAATTTCACCATTTTCTCTATTTATGGATGATGTTAATACATCAGTTGTCGTGAATTTGTTTGTTGACCAACAACTTCATCTGCTATGCAGTTTTATCGGGGATGGCACCAAAAACACCATTCAGAACTCGCTTACTGGGTAGAAACGTGAAATGAAACGTCTCGATAGTATCTGCTGGGGTATAGTTCGTTTTTAGGCAAGTAAATTTTTCTTACGATTGCTTTGCCAGTCTTATTCAGTAAAATGATGACCTCTCTGGACACGTAGCCAGAGTGTATGATCTATTTAGTTGCAAAACCCATTGTATCAGGCAAGTATTCCTTAACAGTGAGAATGACTACCCCGAACGTTTCATTAAAGCCAACATGCAACAGAAGCGAACACAGCCCGTACTTTTGACAGTAGAACGTAAGCCATTCTTCTTACAGCTGCCGTACAAGGGCGAAGTTACGACGGAGCTTCTACTTCGTCGTCTTTCGTGTGCACTCAGACGTGCCTACCCCGCAGCAAGAATGCAAATCCAGTTCATTAGCACTCCAAGTGTGAAACTGAACTCAAAGGAGAAGAGGCCTGTCCACAACAATTCAATGTGTATTTATCCCTTTTCCTGCTCCTGTGGAGCAGAATACATTGATCGTACAACAAGGCGGCAGGTGCTAGAGCAGCGCCACGCATACCGCAGACCGACAATAGCTGTGTTCCTCGATTTCAAAAGTGCGTTCGATTCAGTCGATCGATCGATTCTGTTCGAAATACTTGCGCGGAAAGGTGTTCCCACGAAATATGTGAACATCCTTCGTGCTCTATACTCGAACACTAGAGGCCGCGTCAGGGTCTATGGTGCCCTATCGGATAGCTTTTCGACTACAAGTGGCGTTCGACAGGGTTGCCCGATTTCCCCGTTTTTGTTCAATTTCGTCGTGGATTCTATCATGGAGTGTTCCCTTGCGGAATCTCATGATGTAGGTGTTGAAGTGCTGCCTGGTGAACGGTTAGTTGATCTAGATTATGCGGACGATATCGTCTTGCTTTTCGACAATGTGGAGGCGGCACAATCAACCTTGAATAGCATGTCCAGAGTGGTCCCATTATTTGGTATGCACTTCGCACCTTCAAAGTGCAAAGTGTTGCTGCAGGACCACCAGCCACTCAATGACCCCTTGACGCTTGCTAACGAGGAACTCGAGGTGGTTGATCAATTCACTTATCTTGGCAGCTGCATCAGCAATGATGGGAGCATAGAAACTGACGTGAGCTCACGCATTACAAAAGCCAGAGTTGCCTTCTGGAACCTGCGTCATCTTTGGCGACAGAAGGGAGTTTCCCTCCGTCTGAAAGGCCGTGTATACAAGGCCACCGTGAGGGCCGTTCTGCTCTATGGTAGTGAAACTTGGCCCCTTCGGTCTGAAGATCTGAGGCGCCTTCAAGTCTTTGATCACCGTTGTTTGCGAAGCATTGCTGGTGTCGGATGGCACCAGCGTGTCCGCAACGATGATGTGCGTAGGCGAGTACTAGGCGGTGATGATCATGCTAGCTCCCTAGAACAACAGATAGCACTGAATAAGTTACGTTGGCTCGGGCACGTGCTACGCATGCCTGGTCACCGCTTACCTAGGAGGGCCTTGTTCAGTCTGCCAGGTGTAGGGTGGCGCAAGGCTCGAGGTGGACAGAAGTTGACTTGGCAGCGGGAAATGAAGTCACTGACGACCAAATTGGGTGCCGTTGATCCGTCTCGCCTTCCGGGTTGGAGTCCACGTGATTCATCTTGTGCTTGGCTCGAGACTTTACAGGACATGGCTCGCAACCGACACCAGTGGCGCGTCTGCTGCCGTCTCCTAATCGGATTGTCTGTTTAAAGTGTGTTTGGTGCTGAGTTATCTGCGGGGTAATGGCTGATTATGACGCGTGGCAGTGAAAGCCGCAAGGAAGCTGTCTCGCCGATGCCGCATTATCTTTGCACGATAGCCAGCTGTTTGTGACGGTATGTTGTCTGCACAAGGTGTAGACGCCTTGACCCTGAATGTTTGCTTAGGGCATTAAGGTTTTCGGGTAAGTCCCCCTTCTCTCCCTCTTCTTATTCTTTATTTCATAGGCCCTCATGGTTGTATGGCAGCGAAGCATCAGTTCAAATGGCTGATGTTCTGCTGTTGATGATGATGATGATGAAGGCGTCTATCCGAGCGAGTGAAGGAACACCACCCGGTCTGGCTTGAAACTGGAAGCAGAAAACCAGTCAGGTCCTCAATAGCCGCGCATCTCGCTGACACAGGGCATGCCACTAAATCAGCTGACTCTTTCAAAATTATCTACCACGCCTCGGCAAACCGATCGAACTACGTGCGTTAAAGAATACTAGAAGCTGCTGAAGCAATTGCGATTCGACTGTATGACCCGGAGCTGTGTATCCAGAAGAAGCTAACTAGAGGGTTGGGACTACCCTGGCCCAAACGCCTGACGACCTCTGACCCGCGAGGTCAATTGTCGTAACCTAACAGCCACTGTCAGTATTGAACTCGCTCCTGGACTAACGACTGGTAATGTCTGTCTACGCATTTTGTTCTTATTTGTATATAACTGTAGAAGCCTGATGAGGAATTATCGAAAACATATGTTCGCTTACACTGACTTCTGATCTTGCTATGGGGTTTCACAAAAAGTGTAATATTTGTTTCGATAGTCTGCCTCATAATTTCGAATCCCGCCATATTATAAGTGCGGACCCGTCTTATTTCAAGCGTCAGTTGTGTATTGTTAATGGATGCGTCGTTTATCTCCTTTGGGTACACGTGCTCAGGCGCTGGGCTGGCTATGCAGTAGACGTTTTTCGTGGAACGGCAATACAGGCTGATGCGCATGCGTATTGAATGAGAGGTGAGACCTGGGGCTTGCCCCAGGTTTGTGTGCATCTTATTGGCAGTCTCCTCATTAACGTATGCTTTCCACACCACAATTTATGATTTTACAGCGTTCAGCTGCGCATTCGGAACGATAATTAATACGTTAATGTTCAAGAGCGACAACTGATGCAACTACACAGAGTGTGCTCTACTCGCTGCTTCTAATCGGTATCAATATCTGCCAGTGCGCGCGATTGACTTTGTTGATGGTAACCAGTTCGCTTGGGATTGTCGAAACCCGTCTTTGGAATATGAACAACGATTCTGATGGACCAAACCACGCACTTGGAATCACGTTCTACCATACCAGGCTCGTTCCATTTCCGTGGTATTATCTGCTCGACTATCAACTCACAATATGGTGGCCACAGGACCAGAATTTTTGGTATTTTCTCGATTTGAATGTTTTCGAATCAGGAACAGTAGCAGTCAGAAACAGCCCGTCCGCTTTGCTTCTATCACAACTGCGAGACACTATGGTCAGATCCAAAGGTAGTGCTACCTCGCCAAAACCAAATAAATCCCCCCGCTACTTACTAATTATCATTAATCATCTTAGCAGCTTACTTGCCACCTCGATTGGAGGCGGCTTACAAAGGGAGTCTTGGCTCTAGGTGGGGGGGGGGGGCAGCCCTGTTCTCTGCACGTTCACAACATGCATGACAGTGGAGGATGGGCCGCGCTTTATTGCAGCTATATATCAATCATGTGGTCTGCTGCCGTCACCCAAGTCGCTGGCTCGTATAAGTAAGGCCATGGGTTTGAATCCAGCAGGATTCGGCCGGTGCGCGCTATCAACGAATTTCAATGGGATGAAACGGCTGCCTAGCGCTTTCCTGGATGTTTGTCTGGGTCTATTTGCAAATCTATACTGTTATAGCGATTAAAAAGAGAAGAGGAATCTGTTTGGAAAGAGATTCGTCAGCATTAAATTTAGGCAAAAATCCACCACCTCCGGAAAGACAGTTGACGACGACTTTGACATCCTCCTGGCACCAGTCAACCGTAGGCATTCCATCTACACCCAGTAAGGAGTCAGAGGCAGTGTCGACAGATATTTGCGTGTAATGGTCCCAACTCGTACGGTCACAATGCATTCCATATGGATATGCGCATCTTAAAGTTAGTCGAGTAGAGAGATGGAAGTAATCAGATTAGATCGCAGTGGGCTTGGGTTGGCATCCGTGAATACTAGTAATTCGGGTCAGCGGTTTGGGTTTTGGCTTCTGCCCCTCGGGTTGCCCCATGCCCGTTAGCTCTTAGTCACTCAATTTTACAGGCGTGGCGCATCCTAAAACAGTTAAAGATCATTCGGTGAACTCATATGGGTGGTGCCGCCGGCCCATAGACTTAAGAGTCATAATCCTGCCTTGTGATCCGAGGGCGCGATTTCGAGGCGTCGTGGGTACCGGGCGACTCTCGCAATATCCTTAACTCACGTTTGACTGGTAGTGGTTGCGAAGCGTCCGTACTGTGTGCCGGCGTACTGCTGATGCCTTTTATGAGTGACGAAGATCTCGTAGGATGCTTGATGCCAATGACTTCACGAGTAACATCAACGAATACGAACCACACGGACCGAGTGATAGGTGCTGTGACTCTCTCTGCGGCGTTTGGCGACTCATCACCACATCGCCTGGTTAACTTGAAACCGCTATGCTGACTTGCTCACGTGTTTTCGGTCCTCCTTTTCGTTTGTCTAGAATTCTGCTATCTTAATGCGATGGCGGCGGAGGCCAATGGTAAATCGGTGGTGTCCTCAGACCCACCCTGACTTCAATTTGCTGGTCGTTCGCCCCAATATTTTTAGTGGTTTTCTCGGCTTCGACCCATTGCTGTGAGCGTGTTCCTTTCTATCAGTTTATTGACTCCGAAATTCCATTCATCGCACAACCTTGATCGGTCCGTCAAACAAGTCCCAACGGTCTTGTCTGAGTGACACGACTAGTCGACGTTTGTGGGCTTGAATAGTGACGAAGAAGTTAACTATTGCGAGGAATGATTCAAAAAATGTTCGGCTGATCATCAGTCCTGACTTGAGAAATAGCTCGCTTTGTGTGGGAGAAAAGACAGTCAGACTGAATTGTCAGCTGATCAATGTAATCTGGGTTCGATCCTCGAGGACCGCCGTGACTTACAAGCAAACTACGGATTTTGTAGAGTATACAGTTGGACTCCAGAGTCCACTAACAGTAGTTGCGTACAACAGTATTTGGAATATGTTAGGACGGATATTCTGATATACCCATAAGTGGCGCAAGCTGCTAGTGGTTGGGTTTGGCTCCCAACCAGATGATTAAACCATGGGATACAATTGATAACTGCGCCCATACTTAAACTTTGCCTCCTTAGGTGTACAGAAAGGGGGCCTGAGTTAATAAATAGAAAGCTGAATGGATAGATCGTAATGAAATACTTTGGACTGGATCAACTAGCGGTTCGCCCGATCTTTACATGAAAACAGTAGGTCGTAAACAAGAAATCGCGATTGAGGGTGGAAATTAATACCCGCATATACATCATTGAGCTGAATGGTTTCCGTAGTGACAGAGCGAAACAGATGTCACTGATTAAGAACGCGGAGTCATGCAGCTCACAATTGGTGCCACGGTGATAATTAAAACACCGCACACAATATGGGCATCAATTTAAGCCATCACGGTTGCAGTTAGTCAATATGCGTGTAAAGGAAGAATATAAAAAGGCTTGGTGAAAGGACACTCCAGGAGGAGATAACCTCAGCAATGATTGCGTTTCGTCAGTACACGTGGGTAACAGGTGGAAATGATGATTAGTAAAAGTAAAAGAAGGAACAAACTATCTATTATCCACAGGGGGTGAGTGAAAGTTCTTTGGCGATTCGGATCGGGGAATAGGGATCATTACACTGGGCGGAGGTGTGGTGTCTGGTTCCGGGCAGTCGGTGGCTAACAAGCCCTCTAGCTCCTCATTTAACAGACCCCATGTGTAATCCAATCGCGGAGAGATGTCACCCGAGTTGGTGCCAGCAGTGCCGGATTTTCTGTGGATCGAATGCACCGATGTGGACAACGATGGACCGTAGATTATATTTTTCACCGAAACCGGGAGAAGATGAACCACTTGATCCAGCTGCTTTACGTAAGCTGCTGCGCAATTCAGAGCTGGTTCCAGAGATATATTGAAAGATAACTCGTTCACATGCTGCCGAATAAGAAATATCAACAGTGTTAAATGGGATGCACGAAAACAAGCTAATCTGGCGAGGATGTATCGACTAGGAAAAGCATTGGTTGCTTGAATGTATGGGGTGATCTAGTTCCGGCTGTGGGTATGAATTGGTGTGCAGTTTCGAAATCAAAGCAATACGTAGCCGTTTCGTCCAATTGGAGCTCGTCACTGGTATCTGTCCCTCGTCTCCATCAAGATCCGAAGCCATAGGTATTGGCTGCTTGCAATACTAGCCAGCAACTTATGCCAATAGGCCATGGGGGACGTTGTTGCCGGACAATCGCGATGTGGCGCATCTTACCCTCCACTGCCGTACAAGTTACGAATGTCGCAGATGGCAGGGTCAGTCACGGTTTCCACTAACAGCGGTTATGTACGATGTAGTCGTGTGTGGTGCAAACCGCTAATTGTCATGGGTTCGGATCCTGACGTAATCGAGCAACGCGCACTGCTGACGAGTCCCGGTGGAATGAAACGGCTATCTAGCGCTTTTCCGTTTGTGTGGAAAACCCGGAAGCTATTGCAAAGAGCACACAGCTAATTTCACAAATCACTAGATTACGAGAGGATTAGGTAAGACAATTTCTAGACACACTGCGATCGCCAGGTAAAGACAGGAATTCGGTGGTAGCAGTGCATGCACTAGACACAGGGCACAAAATCAGCATGCAATATGCCGAGATAATCAGAACGCGATTGAGGAGAATACCGGAGAATACTTTATGGGACAGTGGATAGTGCCAAAACCAACAATTGGATAGGCAGAGTAGACGAGGTGGAGTTGTCGAACGTTTGGCGCGACATCCTGTGTAAACCTGATCCGTTTAGTGAACGTTGGCCAGCGGATTCGGATTCACGGTAGACGAACATCGACACTAAGGTCTTCGGCTTCAACAAGATGTTCACGTATTATTACCTGGAAAATTTCCTCCAAAGTTAGGCGATGGTTCGTATATACGGTCGTTATTGCTTTGGATTTTCACCCACGTTTTCTATGCAACCTTTTACTTGTTATATGCTAACCCACTTGGTTTGACAAAGCTTGTCACAAATGAAACGTTGCTCTCTCTAAGCACCCCACAGTTGGTGTAACACAATGTAATCGTGATAAGCTTTGCGAGTTTTCTGCTTGCATACATGGTGGTATTATAGTGACCTAGTCGAAACGAACGCCACGATCTTTGTGGATTAAGCTTCACACGCGAGATGAACGCTGACCACAAGTGATGCACTAGAACTCAAGAGAAAGGAAGACTGGCTTATGGCAGTAATTCTGCTATACGGTGAATACAAGGTCGCGCAGCCTTGACCATATACCGAGGTTGTCGACATATGAACTACACAAAAAACGGTCTGATGAGAGGAAATCGGCAAAGGAGTTTATCTTGCCATTTTTGGGGAAAGTGAATTCTGGTAACAGATAAGAAAGTACTTCCTGGGTAATGTGAACTCGTGATTGTTTTCACATTGTCAATATGATCCACTGTTCCGTTTTCCCCATAAGGACACAAACGACTACTACATTCTAAATAAACAAATATTCTCGAGAAGTTCGAGGTATACCTATCTAGGCACGATCACAAATCCGTACATGTGCGCTTTAGTCTCAGTAAGTAAACATTAGAGGGTGTATGTTTTATCCAGTCCGTAACACCAATGTAAGAAAACACACAGAGTTTACTAATGAGTAGCAGAATTTTGATTTTAATGTTTTCGTCCCAAGAGCTCACAAGCTACATAGCACAGCCTAGCTCGGAAAATGGGTCATGCGCACCACTGACGAGGCGACACGCGTCCGGTGCTTTTCCGGGCTGGGCTGTGCTATATAGCCTGTGAGCTCTTGGGACGAAAACACACAGTTTAGTCAAAAAGCGACAGGACATTCTCAATCGCCTTTCACTGGCGACACGATGATAATGGTGTGCCAGTGTGCATGTTCATGTGGTGTCCCTGACCTCTGTGTGAACGTGGCAATGAGTGGACATAAATTATGTGAATCGCGCGAACAGCGATGGGAACGTGTGCTTTGGGAGAGATTCGTCGAATTCGGAGTGAATAATTGCATCCGCGCTGGCAATGATCACCTATGATATCAACAGTATGAATAGCCTCGGCAAAACGCATTCTGACTCCTGTGCTAATATGTGCCGAGAGAGATCGGGACAGCTGCGAAAATCTAACCCACAGCCGGATGACACTTACATCTTCAGCAGTTGCAGCGGATGACAGCAGTAGACCTGAAGAGTAGATCGGGCACAGACTCAATCATCAATACTGTGTGTAAGATGAGTGCGCGCATGTGTTCCCAAAATTTGCGTGAATAACGCTAGTGGGATGCAGCGTATGGACTGTGCTAGTGTTGAGTGAGCTCATGGTCGGTGCGGTGTTTGAGGTGACATCACTTATACAGTGTGGGTCATGGAGAACCAATGTAAAGACAAAGCAGCATTGTGTAACATTCGCAAACATGGCTTCTCTTATTACTGTAGTGGGGCGCGGCAAAGTATCGGTTCATGGCCATGCGACCACCTACAAGGTCCGATGCAAAAATAACACGAATCACAAACGCGGACACTTTTCGTCAAACCAAGATGACATTATACCGATATTCTCCAAGCTGCTTCCAAGCCAGATAGTCCAACTCCAATCCGGCAAGGCACCAGCCGATCGTTTCGCCCCATTGGGGCTCTTCAGTGATGCACATTTACTGGGCGCCCTACGAACCCGTGACCGTTAGCAGCTTGCCCAAACTAGCCAGTAGCCTATGCCACTGAGTTCTGGGGGGGCGGAGACAGACCGTCTGAACTTGCAACCTATCCTCCACTGCTCGTGCAGAGGACAATGGTGGCCTTCGAAAGATACGACTTTCACGGCACAGTAGCTATGTCCGCATGGCATATGGAGACTATGAGGGCGAAACAGTAAATTTCAAAAATCCTCCTACTTATAAGTAAGAAAGCACAGCGGATTGACGCCGATGCTGGTGGGACGGAGGACTCTCTGTCCGGAGTAAAATGCCTGATATTGAGATACACCACCTAGTACAGACAAACACGCTGAGGACAGTAAACGGCTGCAAAATAGGTACATTACCTTTAGAATGCTGTTCGCATCGTAATTTCTTTCCATAAATACGCGTCGCTGCATAAGGAGGACCGCAGCCGCAAAGAAGATGTGGAAATTTTTTGTCAGGTGCTCACTCCAAATGGCCTAGAACAAAGCGGTGCAATTGAAAAGGGAGACATGTTAGTGAGCGTGACAGCGCGTATCACGCGTGATTACAGTTAGTCACCTATGATTGAAGCACAAAAATGAGGCACGTCCAGTTGCATTTACTAATATCACCACGGCATTGATCATCATTATACACGTTAGCTAAAGGTGGAGAACACCTCAGCTACTGTGCCGCAATACATAGAAGAAAAAAAGCAGAAAAAATATGCAACTGGTGCAAGCCGGATGAGCTACCGGTAACGGATGGGCATCGTTCCGGTAAGCTACCAGCCGGCTACTGTGCATCAAAAAAATTACTATGCAAAATTATATAAGGCTAAATGGTGAGATCGTGGTTGGACGGGGAGGCTAAGAGAGATGGGGTGGAACAAAGAAACACAGCACGAACACTACTGAGGTCGGCTCCTAGCCATATCAGCATGTGTATTCAGCCAAACGTGTTCATCGTCTTTCGGACCCCAACCAGGGAGCCAAGACGCCCCAACCGAGACCAACTCCGAAGTGAGGCCCTTCATTCCTCTCGAACAAGTCATCGCTTGGTCACCTCTCCTCTTCCATGCGCACCCCGGCGCGCAAACAACGCACGCCGCGGGAGTCGGTGGGCTGGAATGCGCAACACGTGGCCCAGCCATCGGAGTCTGGTGCACGAAATGACGGTGCTGAGCGGTTCACTTCATTTTCCTGTGCCGTAAACAAGGCGTCGGACACGCTCGTTACTCCCGCGGTGTTCCCACCAGATGTGAGGCAAACTGCGAAGGCACCGGTGGTCGAACGTAACTAGCCTCTTCAGGTCCGCTGCTTTAAGAGGCCAGGTTTCACAACCGTACAGTAGGGTCGAACGTACCGCTGCATTGTACACTCTACCCTTCAGGGCGAGAGTGATGTCGCGCCGGCGCCATAAGTTGCGTAGGTTAGCAAGAACGCATCGAGCTTTTGCTATACGGTTCATGATGTCATCTTCAATCCCACGGGCGCTGATACTACTTCCCAGGTAGTTGAATTTTTGAACGACTTCTAGCAGATCCCCACCAACGGTCAGCGTAGGAGGCGGTCCAGACCAATCTTGGAGGAACGCCATGCACTTCGGGGGTGCGATGTAAGGTCCGAAGTGACGGACAGCCAGTGCTAATCTGTCCAGGGCCGCTTGGCACGGTTGTGAGTTGTCACAGATTAAGACAATATCATCAGCATATTCTAAGTCAAGAAGTCGTTCTCCTGGGAGCAGATCCACACCTAAGTCGTGTCCTGTAAACGCGATTTCCATGACTTCGTCAATAGCGAAATTGAAGAGGAAAGGTGCGAAGTTGTAGAGGCACAATACTACAACAAGAGCAGCGGCAACAATAATAGTAATGAAAAGGCCTGAATGGATATTGTGAAGAAGAAAAGACAAATGGTCAGCCGGAAAACGGTCAATGAACCGTCGGAATAGCATCAACAACGAGGAGCAACTGGCCGCCCCCCTCCCCGCACCCCGCAGTTCACCTCTTCGTTGTCATGCTATCAATCATTTCTGAGCTATTTCACGATTTCGTTCAGCTTGGCACTCCCTTGGCAAGGTAAATACGCGATGGCGTATCGGGATAGAAAATTTATGCAGTGATTTCAGACATGTGACCTCGTAATAATCAAGTATTCGTGGATATTTTAACCTGTTCGCCGGTCCTTCCCCTAGAAAATGGGTCGTTGAAAGCAGAGAATCATCTCCAGCGTTTTCCTACTTCTCTTTTCATTGTGAACTGACTCCAAAAATGCAATGTGTGGTGGAAAAAAGTAAAGTGGAAATAGCCTCTGTAAGGGGGAAATCTCATAATACAATTGGAGTCATTGGAACTATCAATCCAGTTGTTTAGGCCATCCCCACACAAGTGTGACGTGCGTGCTCTTGGTTCATTTGAATTATTCCCCTCTATCCCCTCTCCATCTTCTCACAGCTTTGTCCCAGTACGCTCATTCGAACCGGATTTACCAGCCGTACACAGTGATCCATCATATGTGGAAATATCTTCTGCGATTGGAGTCTGTGCCATCACTAACCGTTTTCACTGGCATCGGTGATTAAGCGCAAGCGGATAACTCAACCACATTGAGCCGATTGCCTTTCTGTGTGACACCATTCGATACAGAATTTTCGAAGCAGTCTGAAAAGCCTAAGTTTATTCCGATACAGCGTTTCACAACACAGCTGTGAAAGAATTTGTGATCTCCCAATCTGTGTTCAGCGTTGTGTTCAGATTCAGTTGGTAGGTTCCAGTCACTCGCCATTCCTTGTGACGTTGTCAGCAAGTGCGCCTGCATAACCCATCACCCGGACCGCGCGACCACCCCGACCGCTCATTTGACCTTGCAACCACCACGCTCGCCTGACCGATGTGCGCCGCTCTCAAAGCTGGAAAAGTACAGAACGCTAACCAACCCACTGGGTCAGGTAACGACACCACATTGAATGGCAGAAATGCGAAAGCGAAAAGGCTCGAAGCGAAAGGCATTTGCGGGTTAGGAAAATGTTATTGAGTAGCTAAAATCGGTCTGGCTTGCTCGCACTGTTTGGAGTGGTATCATACGAAATGTGCAAACGCGTCCCAACAACAGGTACGAGAGCGAAATAGCTCCCAAGATGCGCTTTGGTTCTGTACTGCGTGCTCCACCATCCCACTCGTTAAGTGCTTGCTTATCCTAGCTCAGAAGCGCAATCGGTTAACCGCAGAAACCGAGCAAAGGATAAACGATAAGAGTACTTCAATGGAAGCGATTATGTACCACGGAAGCGTACCGACTTCTAAGCAATGGAATGCTGCACAATGCTTCCTCTGAACCGCAATCAGCCACGTCTCCATCTCCGTTGTCTTCTCCAATTTTGGTAGAACCCCGGGCGAAAACAGACCGTACCTACGAGAGTCAAACAGTACTCACGGCAACGAAAATCAGGCAACACTCGAAACGTCTGGTTAAACAAATTCCACCAGACCTGACAAATAACATTAACAGGGATGAAGCAGCCGAACACCAACCCTCGGTATCTGTTGCTCAAATGTCTCTTATCGAGACAACCCCCCCCCCGAACATCAGTTACATATGCAGAGATCGCTGCAAAGGCCGCCGTTGCGGCCTCTTCTGTTGTAAACACCGTTAACGCGAATAGAGGGACAAACAGCAAACAATCAACACTTGTCAGCAGGTCAGGGCAAACGAGTACCAGACCTTGCAGGGATCCAACAATAGTGCCCGGACAGTTGTATGCTCAAATGTTCCAGAATCTACCGCCGCCACATTGCGGGATCAGTTATCGCATGACCAAGACCAATGGAACTCATTTTGCGTGCAGATGAGTATCAAAGTCAAGCCCGTAAACTTATTACGAATTACTCGTCATCCGAACTCGCTACACTATGGAGAACACAGAATTATTCGAGTAACACTAGAACCCTCCACCGACGTAGAAAATGTTTTGCTCCGCCAGCGCGCTAAAACACGGATCCTGTGGGATACGCATTTATCCTGATGCCCCTTGGAGCGCACGGCAATCAAAAAGCAACACCGAAGGGGGGCACAGCAAGCAAGACCGCCTAAACACAATCTTCATACATGGTGTGCCAGAACATCCTTCTAAAGATGTTCAAGAGACCGGAAAGCACGATTTAGAACAGTGGCGGTTCATTCGTGAAACACTTTATTTGGGTAATATTGTGGCGCTATTGCTCACCAGGATACCTCTCTCACTAAAGTATAGAGGGTGTGGCCCTAGAATCCTAAAATTTGTGGTTCAGTCAATCAACGGATGTTTTGGATCAATGGCGGAGAACTCGGAAAAACCTTCTTTCTGAACTTCGGTTAAAGCTCGCAGAAGCTTTGCACAGCTGAAGCAGCAAGCATACCGACAAATGTACAGAAGCGTAACTTTGCTGCTTTAATTGACTCTGACGTAGGTCAAAACAAAGATTGGGACGCACCTTGGCCAAGTCCTATCAAAAAACGAGTAACTGCCGACCTCCCATCGGTCGGCATTCTCCCACACTTGGCTCTTTCACCCGTCATGTGATCGAGAAACTGGCCTGCTTGCATAAGAATGCTCAGGGTCTTTTTAATAAACTGGCTGAACTGAAAGATCGCCAAGCTTCCGGGTCATATGATGTCATTGGTATCACCGAGACATGGTTGCACACGGGAATGATGGACGCTGAAGTTTCGCTACCCGGCATGTCGCTGATCCGGAACGACAGGCTCACAAAAGGAGGAGGGGTAATCCTGTATTACCGAAACGACTTACAGTGCGAAGCCGTGGAGGATTCAGAGTCGCAGTTCCCCGACTCTCTTTGGTGCCGGTTGCAGTTAAAAGGCAGGGACGCTTGCCTTATTGTCTTGGTGTACCGCCTCCTAACTCTACACTCGAAAACGACTACCACCTAGCGGCTGCTTTAAGATGCAGTTTATACCGAAAGTACACTCACATACTTATCATGGGTGATTTCAACGTACATCGTGTAGAAACTCCTGCCACGATCAGAGAGCAATTCAAAGCCGATCTACAAGATCTCGTAAACACTGTTCTTCTTTACAGTCACATCACTTTGCCCACCCGGTGCAGAACTGGTAACAAGCCATCTGTGCTGAATCTTGTGCTTACCAACGAGGAGCATATGATTGATGTGTTGATTGTAGACTGCCCGTTGGGTCGCAGTGATCACCCAGTCATCAGTTTCAACTTCGTCTGCTATGCGGAATATCGTAATGAGAACAGTGAGACTGTGCGAACCATCACAAGCTACGATCGATTAACCCAGCTCGTCAGCGCTACAACTTGGTCGTTCCTTACCGAAGAACCTCCGGAAGTCGTCTGGCTCGAGTTCGTCAACAAATTCAGTCAGCTGATTGCAGAGGCTTCAGAGATAAAAGTTTGCAATAAGTGTACATCAGTTTCTTTTGTTAGGAGCAGAACTCGAAAATGGATGACAGTACGCAACGCAGCATGGTGAGTGTACAGAGAAGCTCCAGCACCAGAAACTTGGGACAACTACGTAGCCCAACGTAACCACTGCACTCAACTGCTAAGAGAAGACAAAGCCGCCTATCAAAAGAACATCGCAAAAACCTTCAGTGCTAACCACAAACTGCTGTACAATCACGTCAATAGCCTACGAAAGGTGAGGAAAGGATTTCCTCCACTCAGGACGGCTGCTGGCCCAACAAGAACGGCTGTGGAAGCAGCAAACGCGTTGCGGATGCAATATGCCCCCCACGTTTCAGAGGGTCTTGCCACCATGCGATCATCCAACCTTTGTCGTCTCCTCGCCAGGACTAACCCACATCACTTTTACCGCGGAAGGCTGTATTGCAAAAGCTGAGGTATCTACGAAAACACAGCTCGCCGGGTGTCGACACCATTCGTCCAGAGGCATTGGAAGCAGCAGCAAGCCAACTGGCAGGACCTTTAGCTCAGTTTTTCCAGCGCTGCTTAGACCAGAATCAAGTTCCCGCTATGTGGAAGCTTAGAGTAATAAACCCGATTCACAACGGTGGAAGCAGAACTGATCCCTCCAACTACCGCCCAGTATCCCTTCTTCCTATACTCTCCATGGTCATGGAATCCATAGTTGCCGATGCACTGGTGTGCTATCTGGAAAACTGTAACATCATCACGCCCGAGCAGCACGGTTTCCGTCGACAGCGGTCATGTACAACTAATTTACTAAGCGCACGCAGTAGTTGGACCGAGGCAGCTGACGCTGGAGAAGGCGTTGATGTGATCTACCTGGATTTTTCCAAGGCTTTCGATCGTCTAGACCATCGGATACTACTCTCCAAGCTCCAGCATTACGGGATCGGAGACCCTCTTTTAAGCTGGATTGCCAGCTTTCTACTTCAACAGCAATTAGTGGTCAGAGTTCGGAGCTCTTTATCGGACCCCATACAAGTCGAGTGTGGTGTGCCGCAAGACTCAGTTCTAGGTCCACGTCTGTTTTTGGTGTTTATTAATGACCTTGCATAGGGAATCGCTTCAAACTTCCTAATATTTGCCGACGATATCCAGATCGGGCGCAGGATCCAGGCGAACGCCGACCAGCATGTGCTTCAGAGTGACCTAGATACGGTGTATCAAAGGTCAAGCCAAAACCTACTGCATTTCAACGTCAGTAAATGCAAAGTGATTTCCATCTGACATCAGAGCAGCTACTCATACCGGCTCGGAATGAATATACTACCACGATCCACTCTCGAACATGACTTGGGTGTACTGGTTCAAGATGACTTGGGTTGCTCCAAACAATCCGAAAAGGCCTCGAAGACCGGGAACCAACACGTCGGGCTGTTGAGGCGGGCGTTTGGACAAATAAACAGCTCCATATTTCGACAAATGCTCAGTGCGTATAATCGCCCTCATGTCGAATACGCAATGCAAGCCTGGCATCCATGGCTGAAACACGACTTTAATGCACTGGAGCAGCCACAACGTCGGGCATCTAAAAACGTAATTGGAATGCGCAATCTTTCATACCACAGGAGTCTGCAACGATTGAGGGTATTCAGCGGAAGCTATCGCAGACTACGAGGCGACCTGATTATGGCATACTTGATTCTGCGAGACCCACATCATCAGTGCCACCCTTTACTGCAACTCAGCAGCAATACAAACTTGAGGGGCCACTCACTGAAACTCGCTGTACAGTATATCCGTCTGGAGTGCCGCAGAAATTTCTTTTCCGTTCGTGTATGTCATCCGTAGAATGCTGTCCCTGTATCGGTCGTCTCGGCACCGACACGAACAGTAGTTAAAAGAAGATGCACTCATCCACGTACACTTTGTCACTTAGCACTAGGTCTACATCCTACACCTGGAGTTTACCATGGAATTATTTCTTGTTAACTGTGGGTGCTGTGAATCTAAGCGGATCGCAGGACTACAGCGGAGCAAACGATAAGTCCCTATTCTCACATTTAAAGTACTAACTGTTTTACTATCAATATTATCATTATTGTTATGTCGATATTCCCACCAACTATCCAACGGGACTTGTAAAGCAACGCGCTTCTTAACCCGTATAAATTCATTGTTCATTGTTCCATTGGTTTCAAATGCGTCGCCTGTTCTACAGCATGTGCCACAGCACTTTCTGGCGGCACCTGTCTTGACCGTTGTAATTGGTTATCACGGTCTACCGCCTGTCTGGCGATACACGTGACTCGTGTGTGTAACCAAACGGTCTGAGTTTGGCCGTGTGCGAGCTTCACAATCATATCCTTTTAGGTGTCGTGTTCTCAATTGCAATACTGACAACTGGAGTTTACCATGGAATTAGTTGATGTTAACTGCGGGTGCTGTGAATCTAAGCGGATTGCAGGACTACGGAGGAACAAAGGACAAATCCTTATTTTCATATGTGGGGTACTAACTACTTTACTATCATTATTGTTATGTCGTTATGCCCATCAACTATCCAACGGGACTTGTAAAACAACGCTTCGTAACCCGTGTAAATTCGTTTGTTCAATGGGTGCGGACTGCAGCGTTACACCGTTTTGGAACTCCAAGCTCCTCCCATCTTCAAGTGCGGAAGCACTAACCTTCCTGTGACTCCGCGTACACACAGATAGGTTGATAACCATGTAAATGTCATGCAACTGGATGGGACCAATTGCACACCGACTAACAGGTGCAGCCTTATTTAATGACTGGAACGCAAGTTAAGGTGAGATGAAGGCAAGAAAGGGGGGACAACTTATCCCACAGTATGAGGCCTAGGCTGGCTGCGGTAAGAGTGGCCTTAACCGTAGAATAACGCTGCTGGTAGACACGATTGAGATCACTAGTTTGCCCAGGTGTCAGGCCTTTTGGCCTGGTTTGGGACTGACATGAAGGTCGCCAATGTACTGGGGCACTTGTTTACCACGGAACAATTACGGTGCATCCACAATTCAAGCAGAGCAATCACAATCAAAATGTGTTAACGCATTTGACAAACGTTGGCAGTAAATTAGATGATGGCGTCGAAAGTACGAGGGGTAAAAGCTATATCAGACGCTTGACCCAAACCGCATGAGAGAGAAATGTACCGTTCTCACCTCCCACAGAACCATAACATCTGAGTAGGAGAACTCTCGCTTGAACTGAATCAATAACCACCGGAAACAGAAAGGCATTTCTTTGGCGTTCTTGCTTTCTGAACGTGAAGAGACAATAGGATACGAATATAGATAAAAAGCAGACACTGGGAGAATGACGAAAGGCAAGTAACATTTGTGAAAACCACAAGATGCATGTGAGTGAAATCTGAGGTTCAACTTTATAAGTCTAAGTCGTCACCAGCGGAAGCGCGATCAGGCAATCGTGCCCCAAACTCGACTGGATTAGGCCAACCGCAAATCGCGTTGTTCGATCAGTTCTAATTGTTCGACAACGAATAAACAAAGAGCTGATGTTGATCGCGATTTCTCTCTTAGTTCTCAAGTTGAAAAGGAGCAAGTATCAGTTTCGGACGCACAGATCGATAGTTGATATCAAGCCAGAAATTAGTGTTCGAAAGGGTTGTGGTAAGCGGTTAGCGAGTAATATGCTCAGTACAGTAGGAAGTAAACGCAATAATTGCAACACGAACGCAACGCGACAAGGCAGGCAGACTTCAGCAGACTGCCGAAATACTGTGCCAGCGCTTCGTCGCCAAGTGACCGCCACGCAGGGGATAGGTATACTTCGAGGTCCCCATACCAACACAGATTCGAACCCATGACCTTCGGCTCCGAAGGCAGGCGCATTATTTTTCCAGTCAGAAAACAGCGAAGAGTACGGAGGTGGAGATAAGTTAATTCGACCTAAATACGAACTATGATCGATACCACGAGCATGCCCCAAGAGTGGCTGTATGTGCCAACATGTAGGTTGGTCGAGAGCTCCCATCCAGCACATGGTTAATGATATATATATATATATATATATATATATATATATATATATATATGACTTATTGGGACTTTGATACAATGTAACAAAGTTGACGTTATCAGGCTGACTACACATGATCCATATTGATTATGATAAATGTGCGACAAGGGAAGCAAGCTACAGCGTGCGGAAAAACCTAGAAAAAGTGATGTATAAGCCAGAATGGATACATAAAGCAGACATAGCCGCGTAAAAGGACCGCAGAGAACGCAGGATCCCGAAATGTTCCATCATCAATAACGTGTTTTCTGTTTAAGGGACTCACCCAAGAAGTCACTGAAGTGAGGGTCGAGAATTTCTACCAATTCGAAAAGTTGATAAAATTGTTCTCGAACCGCGTTCAGGTCGCCGTCGAAATTTGATTCCTGGTGAACAGGAATGAGGATGTTAAAGTCTATCTAGTTGACAAAACTGTTCATAAAATGTGATTGATTTTATTATACCTTGTTCATATCGGAGAAAATAAGAGTGAGACTTCGTGAAACAGATGTGCCGGATGACAGGACAACGTTCGTGATAACACGCATCGCTAAGTCTCGGAGTCATCCATCCGGAGAGTTCACGTCAAGCAGTACGTAGCGCTTAACAGTGTATAAATCTGCCTACTCGCTTGGTCATTTAGTTATGGAAATTAATTCAAAAGTCAAATGATAACGCAGTCAAGGTGATTGAAGGATACAAAGAGTGCACGCAGCGCTGCGATATAACTTCTCGCAGAATCCTTGGATACTTTAGGAGGGACAGATTCGGTCTAGTCATTAAGGTTTGAGTCAGCACGCAGACAGAAAGCCCAACTAAAGGGGTAACAGACAATTCAGGTTTATCGACCCGATTTCGCCGAGAAGCGCGGTTCCCTCCCATACCTGGGTAGGACATAAGCTGTGCCGCATCTACGCAGAGCTCCTTGATCGACTGAATGCGGTGGTCCAAGAGGGTTATTTCTTGTTTCCTCTAGGTATAGATCAAGTCAATTGTTGACGAGTCTAATAAAGTAGCAAGCAACAATGTATGCGTATTCCGAATATCTGGCGCTTATGTAGCAGGAGTTAAATGAGAAAGAATCTGATAAATGTGGCACAACGGATGATGTATTCCCGCCTCTAGCTAACGTGTATAAGTATGAGTGAAATGTTCCTGTGAACTGACTGCAAAAGCAGATTGATTATGATCGAATCAAACGTAAGGGAGCCCGTGCTTGTCAGTATCAAGCTCAGGAACGCGTACAGAGAAAAGTGGCATATTGCAATGTCAGGAAAGATTTAAATTATATGTCGAGTTGCAGTTGTTAAGTAGTTTTATCTGACTGGCATTAACTGTCCACCGTCTGTACTTAAATCTAAGCTTTAGTTGGGCAAAATCAACAATAACGCAACCATGTTGTGCGCCTAATCGGTGATCCGTCAATGTCACTCCACCATTCGGCGATTGAGAAAAGACCTAAGCTAGTCCGATTAAGCCATGCCGCATATTCACTTCGAGCTCGGAACCAGAATCCGTGCCGTGGATGCAGTTTCATTGACAACGCCATCGATATAATAATAACAAAAATAATCGGTAATAAAAATAAAAATTCAAGAAAAAGTAAATAAAATTGTCACATCGATTAGCTTCATTAGGGATTTTAGGAGCACAAGAAGTGACCATTGTTGAGTGGATGCCGGGACTCGAGCTGATGAGGTTAAGTCATGTCGCTTGGTGTTTATATCCCCCTCCCCCCTCCGCGGAGTAACGTTTGCGGTCTGGATCCCTCGAAGTAAGAGCTGACAAGACGCCTATCGGTCCGACGTGCGCCATTCAAATCATAGACATCAGCAGTATGCCGATATACAATACCGACGCTTCGCGGCCGCGCAAACACCACTAGTCGCACGTGGGCTAAACATACTGCGAGGGTCGCACGGTCCCTAAACAGGATGGAACCCGCAGCCTGCTTTATATAGCAGGCCTGTGAGCCATAAGGCTATGAACAGGCCATCTCAACTATACATTCTGGTAGACGACCGACCATTGCGCTAGGGAAGACGGGATGAGTGAGCTTTGTGACCATGCTCCAGTCACCGTGTGGTTTCATTGCGGAACTGACACCAGGGTGGTGTGTGCGTCAGCTTGGAGTCAATCATTGTTCCCATCTGTACATCGGATACTGGAAGCGTAAGCGCAGATGTGGATGATGCAGAACAAGTACCATATGGTTCTTCTGCGTGAGCAGAAGTCCAGTGTGGATACCGCATTACCTAGGATAAACAAAGCGATACATAGCAGTACATGCAGAATAAGTATGAGGGGTTTCCCTTTGTCTGCAAGGTCACCGTGAGGGCGGTTCTAATCTATGGGGTTTGACTTCTTCGGCTGGAGGATTTGAGGTGCCTTGCAATCTTTGATCTCCGGTGTTTGCGGAGCAGTGATGGTGCCGGATGGCACCTACTTGTTCGCAACGATTATGTGCGCAGGCGAATGGTAGACATTATTAATCAGGTTAGTTCCTTAGAACACCACATTCCACTGCATATGTTGTGTTGGGTTGAGCACCGGTACCGAGAAGGACCTTGTTTTGTCTGCCAGATATAGGGTGACGCGCAAGGCTCGAAGTGTGCAAAGGTAAACTTGACAGTGCGCATACAGACTAAAAGCTCCCTGAACAAAGAAGGCCACACAAATGAGTCTTACCAGGCGCTCCATGAGTCCGACAAAACACCAAAATGCGTCCTCTTCTTGTTGAATGACGTAGAGCACGAGAGCCAGAAGATCATTCATACCTTGGAAATAGCCTGTTAGACAAACAGAGTATCAACAGTGACTACTGAATATACAAGGGTAGCTTAAAATCACAGGAAAATACATGGTGAGTCAGGCGGAGCGGCATTTGGGGGGCTAGATTTCCGACTAATCATAGATAAAAGTCCGTCGCATGAAGTGAAATATTTTCATTATAAGAGTAACGAACTAGCTCCACAAGTATAAAACTTCCACAATAAACATACGCACGATAGTTGTGTTCGCTTTTGAATCACCTGTGAGCCATGAGAACGTAAAAAGACTGCCTTCCATTTCGCCTATTTGGGATTATGAGAGGTAATTTATGCATCGGACATGTGTTTGCATACGCTAAAAAGACGTCTGATAGAGGTCAGAAGCCAGAGTTGTTGTGAAAAACAAACTGACTGGAAAGCTGCACTTCTTGGACCGTGCACTGTCACATAGTTTGTGAAATCGACTCGAGACCCACCAAATGAATGCAGTGATGGCTAAAGAGTCACTGTCTCATGAGAGCAAGCTGAATGCACTCGGACGAGTGTTTCGAAAGTGAATCGCGACGTATCGAGTCCAGTAGATGCGGAAATGGCTGATTCGACAAACACATCACGACGTGTGGGAGCGGGACCGCCAAATAAGAGAAACAGATCGATGCTTTCCAAATGAAAAGTTACACACAGAAATGGCACTGGTTACGCCAATTTCTAAAGAGATGGTGCTTTGACGCTAAGCCGAGGGCGTTGCACAAAAATAAGAGATTACTGCAGACATCCAACTTGGGTTGAGCTAAGACTCAAGTTATCGTTTCACGTGTTTGTCAGTTTAAATGCACCTGCAAAGTGGAACTGATAACAGTGTCGGCTGGGATCTCTAAACGCACCATGCCGGGCTACTCAAACAATAGTCCCATGTTATTTGTAATTCAATCACCCAATGCCCCCTCAAAGCTATCGTGAAATATTTCAGGTAGGAAGTAAAGAAAAGGGGACTGCAATGAGTACTATCTTCATCGAGCCAATGAAGAGGCCCAATCCATGCAAACAAGCTGACCACACAGCCAACTCAGTCTAACACTAGTAGTACCAGTTCCCCAAGGAATACGAGTACCCATTCATTGTGATGCACTGCAATCAATTATAGGTGCGACTGAGCAAGCATACGGGGATTTAGCTAAATCCAGATTATATCGTTTAGATTGTAAGTGTTCTGACTGATATATTGGTGATAAGGTTAATTTTTACTGCAGTTGAGAAGCGAAGTACGGCAGATCGGAAGATAGTGCGTCTACGCTGAGTCTGGTTAACGAAATGAGCTGCGTCGGATGAATACACAAACAAGCATAAGCATACAATGCACCGACCACTACGTAACAGTACGTAGAAATTGCAGTCCAATCGGGCAGATTTATATGTTAAATTAGTTTCGAGTTGATTAGCAAGCGATCACCTCCCCCCCCCAAGAAGACTATTGCTAATGGAGAGTTCGTCGCAGGAGCGACGAAGTCCCGAGGAATTTCACCAAAAAAGCTATTCAAGTGTATTGCTGATCAACCAAGTGGATTCTCCCACGAACAAGCTGCCGATGGAAAGAACCGGGTTCTATAAAGTGGAGACTGTGGGCCAGTGTACATAACCGTGGCAAAGGACAGCCGAGTAGAGGGACTAATGTACAATGCTACCATTGTGATTCCGGAAGAAACAACGGGTAAGGTCGAACACAAGGGTAGATTAACAATATTGGTGCGAAGGACTCGGCATTTCAGTGGGATTATTGGCGGACAAAGTAAAATGAGATAAAAAGATGAGAAGTAATTCACTATACTAGTATACTGTACATATGCTCGGTAACCATGCAGCTGCAAGCGCAATAGGAGACTGTAGGAATACCACAGTTCACCAAGGAAGGGGGACTCGAGCGCGCATCGCAGAGGTTACAGACCAAACATCTGCATCACCACGCCAATATCAGCAGTGGGAGGAAATAATTATATCTTCCGCACTGAAGAGTAGGGGTAAGAAACTTCACTATCTTAATGTATAAACGCCCAGAGCATCCGAAGGCGAGTAGACAGAGTAAAAAATGGAGAGTAAAGATGGAGATGTACGGAACGTCGGTGACGAAACTTCAAAAGAATCTAATCTGACTCACGTTTAGTGGTCAGACCATTCAGTTAGACTGTGCCTTGCACTGTCGAAGTATTTTCCCTTTTATGTATACAGTTATATTGAAGTCCTCACGGACTTGACAATCATCATGATTATCGGTTGATCCCGACCTGGGCAACTGAGTAGCCGACGTCGTGATGTTGACGTAGCCACACAAACATGGCTGAGAGGTAATAATACCGATACTAAATGTACAGTACACTAAAAAGTCTTTCGTCTTTATTCCGGGCAATCGGATCCTATGGCGATGCGAGTCATAAAGCTTCACACAAACCGGAAATGTGCATTTACAGCGACAAAGAGGGTGGTGGTCGTCCAAAGTCCGAGCTTCGATCCACGGGAATAGAATCATGAGTGTCGAACTAATTGGTCCAGTAATTTCAGTTGTTGATTAAATCAATCACCAAACGCTCCAACCAAACCAATGCATCAGCAATAAACCGCTACACAGTATGGACGGTTCGCTGCCAGGCAGCCACCACTAACCGCACATAGGACAAGCATACTGCGACGGTAGCCTGGTTCCTTAAGCAGACTCGAACCCGCGACCGGATTACAAGGCAGGCGTGTGATCCTTTAGGACACCGACTGGCTCAACTCAAAACAAAAATCAGAGCGATCATTAAACTGGAGAAAAGAGGGAAAACAGTGAACCGATTCGAAACACCACACTTACACACGATTGTGTATTAGGCCGAGAAGAGATCATAAAGCCGTGGCAAAAAGAATATTGCATTGACTCTCGAGACGGAAGTGTGATCAACGCCACTGTCTCGATACGGTTCCCAATCAAAAAATACAAGTGACGACTAACTGCCGTTTGTATGTGAACACCACCTCAGTGTACTACTGTTGGAATTGTCGTAGAAAGTAAAAGCCACGACGGGGAATCGAACCCCGGACCCACGGAATTGTATTTGGGATGAAATGGGACAATACTCGGTTGCTCCCAGTGGGACCTGAACGCCGATACACAGTGCCCGTATTCCGTGCACAACAATTTAGAACGAATCAATGTGAATGTGTCCCACCATAAAAACGTATCGGAACGTCAAAAATAGTGGTGATTTGCAATTGGATCATTCGGCGGTGAACCACTTGCTGCGGTTTCATACGCATTTGACGGGTCACAAGTAAAAAGTGCCAGTGTATAGCAGTATGAATGCGCTACAAATGTCTTCTCACATTCGCTGTGTGGCTGCATTCAATCTACCCGAATGCAGACTTGCTCACGTTATTCAAACGGGTCCAGACACATTGTAGCACGCCGCAACTGAGGAAGGCGGAGGAAGACTACCAATTTAGCATGTTTCAGCGAAATTCATACCCTAGAAGCTTTATTCTACGCTGCCTGATGTCGAAGAGCCAGTCACCACCCGCATCTACATGTGCAACAGAAAGAAGAACGATTATCCTACCTTACATCTATGGGATTTCTGAAATGGCAGCGAAGCTTCTAATGCCTCATGGGATAACTGTTGCACACGAAGCAACGGAAACTATACGAAGTAAACTTTTTAAGGTGAAGGACAAACTCACTAAGAAAAAAACATCTGGTGTAGTTTACAAAATTTCCTGCAAGAACTGTGACAAGTACTATGTAGGCCAGACTGGAAGAAAACTTGGCATAAGACTGCAAGAACATAGTCTGGCCATCCGCCGCCACGATGAGAAATCCTTAATGTCAGTAGACATGGATGCCGAGGACTTTACCTCTGGCCAAGCTCGCAGTCAGCACAGCCTTGAGTTTCTTGCCAGTGTTTTAGAACATGGCCTAACCGAACACGTACAGCAGTACACTCGGTGGCGAGACGGTCAAAACCCGTCGAAACTCGACTTGCTGCTCATCAACGAGCCACATCTAATTGACAATGTTAACTTGAGCGCCCCAGTTGGTGCAAGTGATCATGCAGTTATCAGTTTTCGTGTGGTGGCGAACGTCACGCTCAACGCTAAAGCACTGCCCATCAGGCTTAACTTTCGTCGAGCGGACTATGACGCGACCAAAGATTTCCTCTCACGAGTCGACTGGTCCCTGGCAGCACAAACCCCCACAGTCGACGACCATTGGAACTACATCGCCGCTCACATCCACGACGCAATTAGGGCACACGTCCCCACAGTGCGCGCTTATGCGCCGAAACGCCACAGGCAACTTCAGTCTGCTACGCTTAGGCTGATCAGGGAGAAGAAGGCCCTCTGGACAGATTCTTACTTTTTGGCGACTCTGATTCGCGAGCACAATACTGTAGAGTGCGAAATTCCTGTATAGCAGCTGTTCGCCAGGACAGAAAAGCGTACCAGCTCTCTCTCGCGAAAAGCTTCGCCGATAGCCCCAAGGTCTTCTTTAAGCATATAGCGTCTCTCACTAAATCGCGCGCTGCCGTTGGCAGCCTGCTCAGACCCGTAGGCAACACCACAACGTCGGACAAAGAAGCTGCGGAATTGCTGAAGACTCAGTACGAGTCCGTTTTCGGCACCTTCGCACGCAGTACAATGGAAGGCGCTAATTTTACCCACATCGCTGCCAGACATCCCGTGCAGTTTACATCAGAGAAAGTCCTGGAGAAATTAAAAAAATTAAGGACAGACAAATCGCCGGGTTTGGATGGGATCCCTCCCATTTTTCTACGTGGGTGCGCCACTGTACTGGCCGAGCCGCTTGCCTTACTGTACAGCCGCTCCTACACCAGTGCCGAATACCCGAACGCTTGGAAGCAAGGGGTCATAACGCCGATATACAAGGGTGGTGACAGGACAAACCCCTCTAATTATCGCCCGATAGCACTGCTTCCCACTGCCTCCAAAGTAATGGAGAGTATCATAGACGATTTC